TTCTATACTATTATTTTGCTATATGATCTAAACTAGTCTGTTTCTTCGAATATAGTCTAATTAACATTCTATTCTGTTCTATTCTATTTTGATATCATGTTCTAATCTAGTCAGTTTATTTCAGTCTGTTACATTCTATTCTATTCTATTCTGTTATGCTACAATTTTTATATCTCACTCATGCTATTGTATGCCACATTCCCTTCCCTTCTAATCTATTCTATTCTAGTACACTCTAACTTTGTTCTTTTGCGCTGTGCTATTCTTTAGCCTATTCCATTCTATTCTATTCTGTACTGTTAATTTAAATGGTGAAGATGTAAAGTTGCTAACAGAGTTATTTAAGTTGCTAACAATGTTAGGTATACAATGATATACTTCCTGCAACAAAAACAAAAGTAAAGTGGTGATCGTGAAAGACTAATGGGCTTGACTACATTACCCATAATCCGTCGCGGTGCGCTCTGTGATGTCATCTCTCACGCTTTGTAGACAGACACGGAGTGATTCTGGAGAGCTGTCAGTGCACGGAGACTGCTGGGGACATCCTGCCTCACTCCTTACTTGATTATTTTTGGCATTTTATCCGACAAACAGAACGACTGTTGTCATTTATTTCCGACAACTCCTGAGTCAGTCCACCTGGAGTTTCTTTAGTTTGGCGCATATCTGAGAAGGCACACTAAAAAGTCTTATTAGAGGTAAGCTTATTAGAGGTAACCTTTAAAGAATGGAAATTAAAGCACTGTAAGGCAGCCCGGGCACATTTAATTTTGGTTTATATCTATTAAGCAAACGTTTGCAAAATGCATTGAACATTTATTTTGGCATTAATTAACCAAACTAAAAGAAATTCTAAAACTTCTGTTTGTGTACGAAATAAATAATTTTCTATATATGCTGAATGTTATTAACCTATGATTCAAATGAAAAATTAGTTTCAGAGAGTTAAGCATGTATGCTCCTGTGTGTGTGTGAGTGTGTGTATATATATATATATATATATATGAATGGAAAAAGTGTATATAGTTTTTGCAGTTTTTTCTTGTTTCTTTGTTGTGAGAGGGTATGCTTTAGTTGTCGTTAAATCGGAATTGATCAGCAGCATTGATTGATTGACAGCTGTCAGCGTTTTTGTCGTGATATTGACTGACAGCTTTAACATCCGCTCAGGATGCTCTCAGCTTTGATTGAATGCTGCTAAAGCATATATAAATAAGCGCATCATATTTCTGAGTGTCTGTCTGAACTGAAGAGGCTCCGGATCTTCATCCGGGGCTCGATTCCTCTTCCACAGGCTCGCTCGCGCGCGGTGTGTTTTAATCTGTCATTTTTGAGGGTTACAAAAAAACAGTTTAAAAACATCTGACAATGAGAAAGTGAGCATTACAAAGGTTTTTGTCAACAAAAACTGTGATAGCTTGGTGTTAGACACCACTGTCATCAATAAATAAATCTATAAACAAGCTTTAAACTTTTGAAGGAGAAAAAAGTTTATAATATCCAGTAGAAAAAAATTAGCTAAAATTATATAATCAAACTAGAAAGGTTGTTTTAATATTGAATAGATTACATTATTTACTTTTATTCATGTAGCAATGCTTGTCCATTTGTTCTCCTAAAATTAATGTAAACATTTACATTTAGTCATTTAGCAGATGAAATGTAATGTAAACACAACCATTACAACAAAAATGCAGCCTATCAAGTTATGTTAAAAGTTTTTATTGAAATGCTGCCCTTTTCCATTCATGTCACCTTCTCTGTTGAATAATGAAAACAGCTTGCACACGTGCTGTGCTTTTAGTGTTTTTATTTTTTTGAGCTGAATAATGAAATTTTCCATGCTTTGTTAAAAAAAAAAACGCTTAATTTATTTTTGTCAGCAGGGCTACATCATTCTGTTATTTGGTGCAAACTCACACATGCTGAAATGCATCACAAACATTTTAATTAAAATTTAAGTAATAATAATTAAAAAAACAAGTAAACTGAAACTACAAAAAAGGGGTTTGTTTATTTTAAATAATTGCTTAATTTGTCCAAGAAAAATGTCACTAATGAAATGCAATATCATTTTTATTTTATTTATTTAGTAATTTATTAGACTCTTTTATCCAAAGCGACTTACAAATGAGGACAACAGAAGCAATCAATTGTAGTATTAAAACAACTAAAAACAGATCCAAAACTAAAAGCTAAAACTTTATAAATACGACTTAAACACATTTTAAAAATAAAGAAATTAAATAAAAATGACAGATGCATACAACAAAATTTCAAAACTTAACATAAATCAAAAACTATTTCAATTGCAAAAACTAAAAACAATTCAAAATATTAAAGAACAAAAAGGTATAAGAGTATAATAATGATTCTAACATAACACTAAGCCAAACACCAAAAAAACAACGTATGTTGAAGTACTGAAATAACTCAAATTAAATAAAACTAAAAACTTAATAAAAGAGCTATACAGACATAATAAATTCAGACATAATGTAACTAAAATTAAAATAAATAACAAATACAAATAATGCAAATCAAACTACATTAGTTTATCAGTAATCCTAAAAAATAACACTGAGCCAAACACACATGCTAAAAAACAACAACTTACTGACACATAGTAAGAAATGGTTATAAAAACTGAAACAGAAGTGAAACAAGTAGTAGGAGTAGTAATATCATAAAAATCATGTTTATTTTGTTCATGAACACACACACACTGTCCCTCCACTGTTTTTGTTCTCCTCTGACCTCATGTCTTTCTTCTCTTTCTCACACTTATCTCTGTCTTCAGCTGATCTCTGGATCCATTCGGCTCTAGCTGACTCTCTCCTTTTGAGTTTTAGGATATATTTTCTGCTAGTTATTCCATAATCATCAGTCTCATTTGTATGTTTAATTCAGTGCAATTCGAACACTGTTCATAGTCAATGCTGACTCGGCTGAGAGTAAAGCTGCTCTCCAGACAAAATATTGTGCACTAAACTGACGGACCAGGATGCATTGGGTCTGATGTTCAAACTCATTAATGCACAGCAATGATCATGTAAAAAGAGGAGGGACAAATGTAAAAACTTCTATGGTTGCTGCTTCTGTGGCCTTTTTCTGTCTATCCTGAAAACTTTTATTTTTTCCTGCAAAACCTGACATTGTTAAAAATGTGCTGTGCAACTAAGAGCTGATTAGGCAATAAAAATAACTTATGATTTCAGAACAAATAAAAAATCATTTAAACCGAATCAGTGCTGGAATTTCCTGAATATTTGGTTATGTATTTGCATTAGATCCTTAAAGAATCAGAAACAGAACAACAACACTAACTATGCATTTACATTTATATGTAAATCTGAGATAATAAGCCTTTGCAGCTTAATCAAAACAAAGACTTCTCTCTATTACACTGCTAAAATGCCGTGCTTAAACAAACAAACCGTCTGGTCTAACCGTCTCTCTTACACATACAATAGATGAAGTGAACTCCAGCTCAGTCTGAGTCGAGCGTGCTCTCAATCTCAGGATCAGCGTGAGTGTGTGCGGATAGCGTGTGTCATGAAAGATCCTTTGTTGTCTGAGTGAAGTCACTCTTTGACTCGTGGGTCCATCCAGAGCTCAGAGCCCAGCGAGGGGCTTTCAGAGTCAGACGTGGGGTGAATGAAGCTCTGTGTCGACCCACCTTCCCTCTGGAGCAGGAGAAAACGACTCACTGATCTGACCATCAGAGCTTCAGCTGCTATTAGTGGTGTGTGTTTGCTAAGGCAAGAGTCACTACTGCTCATAATTGGGTTTTTGTCCCTCTCACTTTTAGATATTACTTCATTCACTTCTTAAATGTAACTATTATTCCTCAGGTAGTGCCCTGAGGGATAATAGTTGCATTGAAGAAGTTTATTTTGCTTAACTGTGCACAGTGCGAGGAAAATAACTGTGGTCGTTCGCATAAAACAAAGGCTTTAAATTTAAAACCAAGCAGAAGCCACTGCTAGCTGGTTGATTCAAAAGTGGGCGGGGCCAACGCACAAGCGGTAATACTATTGGATAATGCTCACCTTTCACTGTCCGCGTTTCACTGTTCACCTGTATTCATAAATCAATCAGCCTGCAGAAGTATTAGTGCGAGAGACGCTAAACGAAAAAAGTGCACAAGAAGAGAGTTGTCTGTGACTATTGTAAGTTAATTTTGTTAAACAGACAAAACATTTGACATTTTAGTAACTTTAAGTCAGTGTTTCACAGAAAACACTGAATGATCAATATAGTTATTTTAGTGTTTAGATCATTTTTGTTAAAGTTTTAAGTTTAAAGAGTTAATTTTCATGCATATATTTATATATAAATATATATATATATATATATATATATATACATATAATGTCCTGGGAATGGCACATATATATTATTACATATATATGTTCATATGCATATACATTGCATTGTGTACACGTGCGTGTGTGTGTGTGTGTGTGTATTCTGTTTACTATGAGTTTATATGACATTTTCATTCATACATGGTTGCAACAACAACAACAACTGTATTATGAAAATGCTGTTACTTTTATAAGTGATCAGGCCTGTGATTTTCACATGTTGGATGATAACTTAACACCCTAGCAACCACCCAGAATGCCATAGCAATACCCTAGCAACCACCCTGAACCCCCCAGCAACTATGTTTATCTTTAACCATTATGTATCACCACCCCAGAAATCTGAGCTAAACATGCATGCTTATATGTACATGTGTGTGTTTGGATCCTCAGAAAGTGCTCATAAATCACAGTTCATCATGAGTCCCCTTGCATACTTCAAAGAGCATAAACTCAGAGAGGTGTGTGCCCTGCATCACCCAGTGTATACTGGGTTGCTGTGGAAACGCTGTGCTGTGTTGTAGCCGGCTGGCAAGAGTGCAAATGTCTCCTGTATTCTGAGCAGATGTCTGGCATGGATACAGGGACGAGGCCGGGGTGTGACACACACACACACACACACACTGCCCTTAGGGCTGACAGTATCTGTCCTTAAGAAACATATCTGGATTTGTGTGGTTTAGTTAGTGTGTGTGTGTGTGTGTGTGTGAAACAGGCAGGAATGAGGTGAGGAGTTTATTCACACTACGTATGTCAGAGACGTTCTGTCAGACAGATGATTAAGTGCTTTAAGCCCGGATCAGATATCCATCCTGTTTAAGAGAGCTCTCTCTGGGTCATTCATACAGACCTACAGGAAAGAGAGCAGTCGGGTGAAGGCAGGAGGTTTGCACATTTCCACACAGGTGTGTTGTTAGGTATTCAGTTGCTAAAAAAAAAAAAAGATGCATTACACTGCTGCAGTACGCCATATACGAAGTTGATTTTGTGTTTGTGTTGATGTTTGGTGATGATTTACACTTATGTTTATGTTAGTTTGTTGTTTAGTTCTTGTATTTATGTTAGATTATTTTGTTTGTTGATTTGTCCTTGTGTTTTTGCTTATTCACATTTGTTGATTTGTAATTGTTTGTTTGTTATTTTGCAGTTGTCTTTATGCTAGTTTGTTTGTTGCTGCTTTATATTTTTATTTGTTTCTTGTTTTGTTTGTTGCTTTGCACTTTGTTGAGTTGTGTTGGTGTGTATTTGCTGATTTAGTTTTTTTTTTTCGTTAATTTGTCAATGTGTGTATTTGCTGCTTTATGCTTTTATGTTTGTTACTTGTTTTGTTTGTTGCACATTGTTAAGTTGTGCTCGTTTTTGTTTGTTGCGTTACACTTCTTCATGCTTGTTTGTTGTTTTTATTGCTTATCTTTGTTGGTTGTTTTGTAATTGTTTGTTTGTTTATTGTTGAATTGATGTTTTGTTTGTTGGTTAATTTGTACATGTGTGTGTTTGTTGCTTTTTATTCACGTTTTTTGTTGTTTCATTTGTTGCTTTGTTTCGTTGCACTCTTATTTATGTTTATTTTTGTTTTGTTTGTTGCATTCCACTTGTGTTTGTTTGTTTATTTGTGCTTATGTGTTGTTGTACATGTTTTTGTTTTGTTTGTTTGTTGCTTGGAACTTGTGTTAATTTCGCAAATTGTACTTGTGTGTGTGTTGCTTTACACGATTATTTATGATTGTTTTCTAGTTATGTTTGCGCTGATGTTTGCATGTTTATTTGTTACTTGATTTGCATTTATATTTATGTGTGTTTTTTGTTTGGCACTTGTTTATCTTTGTTCATGCATATGAGAGATTAATGCGCTGTCATTTGTGGCTGCGAGAGTCATTGATGTTTTCGTGTCGGAAACAGGGATGTCTGTCGCCTGCTATTTTTATGTTGTGGTTTTATCGCGTGTCAGCGCCAAATTTTCGTGACCGCTTGACCCTGACGGTTCAAAACAGTACTGATGCCAACCCACACTGAGAGGAAGTGAAACCATCTCAGTGTTATTTGAAGAAGATCTCCTTCTTCTTATTTCACAGACATCATAACTTACTTGTGTTATCGAATGTGTCTTTTCTGGTTAATATACTCTTTCTATCATTTCTATTTATTTGTCGTGTTTTTTTTTTTTTTGCTCTATAATCTCAGTGGCGCCACCCTACAGGTGGGAATAAGACTAACATCCGAGGCTTTAGATTTTGTGCTACTTTCAGAGGCGTGTGATAGGAGGAGAACAAAGTAAACAGTGAATCACAGACGTGATCAGAGGCATCTGTCGCTTAGTCATTAGTGTAACCTACTTTTGTTGTGTTTTCGTTTGCAGATGTCTTATGGTGAGAGCGTGATGGTGGAGCATTGAGGAAGCAAGATCAAGAAGAGAAGATAGAGATATATTTCAGAGGAAGTGTTTGAGCTGAAGACCGAAGTGATGTTGGCCCCTGAACAGGAGCTGCTGAGCTCTTCTAAACCCAGCAAATACGGAGAGCTCATCGTCCTCGGGTAAGAATGACTCCACTTTCTCAATCAGATTGGCATTTATGCTTAGTAAATCTTGCCAATGCAGCATTGTGAACTAACGTTTTGTCTCCACAGCTACAATGGCTCCCTACCGAACGGAGACCGGGGCAGAAGAAGGAGTCGTTTCGCTCTGTTTAAGAGACCCAAAGCCAATGGAGTCAAACCCAGCACCGTCCACAGCACATGCAGTCCACAGACCGCCAAGGTACACGCCCATTTTCCCGATAATCATTTAAAAATGCCTTTATTGCTCATTTATGTGTCACATTGAATTTTTAAGGGCTTCTGCACAAGCCGAGTGTTTAAATGTGAGCTGTTTTTCTTATCATTCTTCGCTGCCGGTGAATGTGCATCTATAGCATGTGTAGCATGCAACACATTTGTCCAGTGTGACTTCACCCTCACATTTCATTGTCATCTGTTACTCCTGCATGTCTGAATATGATCAATGAACTGCAAGCTGATTTGACGTATGTAAATATTATGAACCGGCATGCTCTTGACGAGGGTTCTGGTGTGCATGTGGTGTTTCTGCAGGCCATCAGCAACAAAAACCAGCACAGCGTGTCGTATACGCTGTCCAGGGCGCAGACGGTAGTCGTAGAGTATGCACACGACAGCACCACTGACATGTTTCAGGTATGTTTATGTTTCTTCAGGTAACTGTGTTTGAATTGTATACAGATTTTGTGGGTGCATTTGTACTGCCAACCTGTACGCATTTTGCGTAGCGAAAAAAAAGGACGCTGGTACGATTTGTCCTTTAAACGGTGGCAGTCTTTCATAACAGATTTAGTCTTATTGTTTTCATGATTTATTCACGCAAACATTAAATAAAGAAAACAACAGGTTAAGTAAAAATATAATTAATATGTGATATAGTGCATGTATTTAGCAAAATTATGACTAATGAGTTTATGGACATTGAATGGCTTTCTTGAGGTAAATATAATGTTGTTTACTGATGTCTTTCTTGAGTGATTACATGAGATATGATACATTTCATATACAGTTGTACTGTTCTTGTCAACACCTTCTGATATTCACGCATGTTTATTTCATACTATATCTAGTATTAAAGAAGAAGGATAACTGGTTTATGTGCCGCACTACAGTGATCTGTCATGACACATTAAAGAGCATGAACCACATTTACTGTTTGAATTTTGTGATAAAATTGACTGAATTTGAAGACTTTCTTTCATATGAAAAGTAACAAAGCACAACGCTTATTGTGATTACTGGATGGCAGGCGTGCTACAAATAATGTTTAGTCAAGTTTTTTTATGCTATCAACTAAAAACGAAAAGATCTTGGTTCATCAAAATAGAGACTGATTAAAAACGATAAATTGAAATTGTCACCATTACGGTCAATGATTTTCACAGAATTAGTGGTGCAATTCATACCCACATATAAACACTCAATTTCAACCCAATTTCCCCTTCATCATTGCATTAACCCTATAAAACTGTCTTTCTTTTGCAGATCGGCCGGTCCACTGAAAGCCCCATTGATTTCGTGGTGATGGACACGCTGCCTGGTTGTCACGGCAAAAGCGACACGCTGTCATCTCAGAGCACTATATCGCGATTCGCGTGTCGGATCGTGTGTCAGAGAGCGCCGCCCTACACCGCGCGCATCTACGCTGCCGGCTTCGACTCGTCCAAAAGCATCTTCCTGGGGGTGGGTCAAACACACTCCTCCAATACAATCTCTCTCCTCTCTAACAGTCTTTCATACTCATCCATCCATCCATCCGTTCCACGATGCTTTCATGTGTTCATCTGTCCACTATCACTCATCCTGGAGAGGCTGAAAATGAACAAGTGAGTGAGTGAATGAATGAACTAATTCATGACGCGAACGAACTACACTACCGTTCGAAAGTTTGAGTCAATAAAAATTTTTCTCTTCTCTTCTGCTCACCAAGGCTGCATTTATTTGGTCAAAAATACAGTAAAAACTCTAATATTGTGAAATATTATTATAATTTAAAATAACAGTTTCATGTGAATATTTTAAAATGTAATTTACCACATGATCCTTCAGAAATCATTCTAATATGCTGATTTGCTGCTCAAGAAATATTTCTGATTATTGTCAATGTTGAAAACAGTTGTGCTGCTTCCTATTTAAAAAAAAAAAAACGGTGATAATTTTTTTCAGGATTTTTTTATGAATAGAAAGTTCAAAAGAACAGCATTTATTTGAAACAGAAATTGATATCCTTGATGAATAATGGTATTCATTTATTTAAAAAAAAAATCTTACTGACCCCAAACAGTTGAACAGTAAGTGTGTGAGTGAGTGAGTGAGTGAGTGAAGGAATGAATGTATGAATTAATCTGTGAATAAACTGAGGAAATGAATGAATCTAAGAATGAAGTGTACGAAGTGTGAACAAATTAATTGGTGAATGAAGAGATTGTACAAATAAATCAGTGAAAAAAGTGAGAGAACAAATTAATTAGTGAATGTGAACAAACAGTGAACTAATAAATTGGTGAATGAATTGAGGGAATGAATGAATCTGCGAATGACTTGAGTGAACGAATGTATCACTGAAAGAAGTGAGCAAACTAATGATCCGATGAATGAAGCGAGTGAATGAATAAATTGGTGAATGAAGTGAGTGAGTGAATGAATTGGTGAATGAAGTGAGTGAATGAATGCATTGGTGAATGAAGAGAGCGAACGAATGAATTGGTGAATGAAGAGAACGAACGAATTAATTGGTGAATGAAGTGAGTGAATGAATGCATTGGTGAATGAAGAGAGCGAACGAATGAATTGGTGAATGAAGAGAACGAACGAATTAATTGGTGAATGAAGTGAGTGAATGAATGCATTGGTGAATGAAGAGAGCGAACGAATGAATTGGTGAATGAAGAGAACGAACGAATTAATTGGTGAATGAAGTGAGTGAATGAATGCATTGGTGAATGAAGAGAGCGAACGAATGAATTGGTGAATGAAGAGAACGAACGAATTAATTGGTGAATGAAGTGAGTGAATGAATGCATTGGTGAATGAAGAGAGCGAACGAATGAATTGGTGAATGAAGAGAACGAACGAATTAATTGGTGAATGAAGTGAGTGAATGAATGCATTGGTGAATGAAGAGAGCGAACGAATGAATTGGTGAATGAAGAGAACGAACGAATTAATTGGTGAATGAAGTGAGTGAATGAATGCATTGGTGAATGAAGAGAGCGAACGAATGAATTGGTGAATGAAGAGAACGAACGAATTAATTGGTGAATGAAGTGAGTGAATGAATGCATTGGTGAATGAAGAGAGCGAACGAATGAATTGGTGAATGAAGAGAACGAACGAATTAATTGGTGAATGAAGTGAGTGAATGAATGCATTGGTGAATGAAGAGAGCGAACGAATGAATTGGTGAATGAAGAGAACGAACGAATTAATTGGTGAATGAAGTGAGTGAATGAATGCATTGGTGAATGAAGAGAGCGAACGAATGAATTGGTGAATGAAGAGAACGAACGAATTAATTGGTGAATGAAGTGAGTGAATGAATGCATTGGTGAATGAAGAGAGCGAACGAATGAATTGGTGAATGAAGAGAACGAACGAATTAATTGGTGAATGAAGTGAGTGAATGAATGCATTGGTGAATGAAGAGAGCGAACGAATGAATTGGTGAATGAAGAGAACGAACGAATTAATTGGTGAATGAAGTGAGTGAATGAATGCATTGGTGAATGAAGAGAGCGAACGAATGAATTGGTGAATGAAGAGAACGAACGAATTAATTGGTGAATGAAGTGAGTGAATGAATGCATTGGTGAATGAAGAGAGCGAACGAATGAATTGGTGAATGAAGAGAACGAACGAATTAATTGGTGAATGAAGTGAGTGAATGAATGCATTGGTGAATGAAGAGAGCGAACGAATGAATTGGTGAATGAAGAGAACGAACGAATTAATTGGTGAATGAAGTGAGTGAATGAATGCATTGGTGAATGAAGAGAGCGAACGAATGAATTGGTGAATGAAGAGAACGAACGAATTAATTGGTGAATGAAGTGAGTGAATGAATGCATTGGTGAATGAAGAGAGCGAACGAATGAATTGGTGAATGAAGAGAACGAACGAATTAATTGGTGAATGAAGTGAGTGAATGAATGCATTGGTGAATGAAGAGAGCGAACGAATGAATTGGTGAATGAAGAGAACGAACGAATTAATTGGTGAATGAAGTGAGTGAATGAATGCATTGGTGAATGAAGAGAGCGAACGAATGAATTGGTGAATGAAGAGAACGAACGAATTAATTGGTGAATGAAGTGAGTGAATGAATGCATTGGTGAATGAAGAGAGCGAACGAATGAATTGGTGAATGAAGAGAACGAACGAATTAATTGGTGAATGAAGTGAGTGAATGAATGCATTGGTGAATGAAGAGAGCGAACGAATGAATTGGTGAATGAAGAGAACGAACGAATTAATTGGTGAATGAAGTGAGTGAATGAATGCATTGGTGAATGAAGAGAGCGAACGAATGAATTGGTGAATGAAGAGAACGAACGAATTAATTGGTGAATGAAGTGAGTGAATGAATGCATTGGTGAATGAAGAGAGCGAACGAATGAATTGGTGAATGAAGAGAACGAACGAATTAATTGGTGAATGAAGTGAGTGAATGAATGCATTGGTGAATGAAGAGAGCGAACGAATGAATTGGTGAATGAAGAGAACGAACGAATTAATTGGTGAATGAAGTGAGTGAATGAATGCATTGGTGAATGAAGAGAGCGAACGAATGAATTGGTGAATGAAGAGAACGAACGAATTAATTGGTGAATGAAGTGAGTGAATGAATGCATTGGTGAATGAAGAGAGCGAACGAATGAATTGGTGAATGAAGAGAACGAACGAATTAATTGGTGAATGAAGTGAGTGAATGAATGCATTGGTGAATGAAGAGAGCGAACGAATGAATTGGTGAATGAAGAGAACGAACGAATTAATTGGTGAATGAAGTGAGTGAATGAATGCATTGGTGAATGAAGAGAGCGAACGAATGAATTGGTGAATGAAGAGAACGAACGAATTAATTGGTGAATGAAGTGAGTGAATGAATGCATTGGTGAATGAAGAGAGCGAACGAATGAATTGGTGAATGAAGAGAACGAACGAATTAATTGGTGAATGAAGTGAGTGAATGAATGCATTGGTGAATGAAGAGAGCGAACGAATGAATTGGTGAATGAAGAGAACGAACGAATTAATTGGTGAATGAAGTGAGTGAATGAATGCATTGGTGAATGAAGAGAGCGAACGAATGAATTGGTGAATGAAGAGAACGAACGAATTAATTGGTGAATGAAGTGAGTGAATGAATGCATTGGTGAATGAAGAGAGCGAACGAATGAATTGGTGAATGAAGAGAACGAACGAATTAATTGGTGAATGAAGTGAGTGAATGAATGCATTGGTGAATGAAGAGAGCGAACGAATGAATTGGTGAATGAAGAGAACGAACGAATTAATTGGTGAATGAAGTGAGTGAATGAATGCATTGGTGAATGAAGAGAGCGAACGAATGAATTGGTGAATGAAGAGAACGAACGAATTAATTGGTGAATGAAGTGAGTGAATGAATGCATTGGTGAATGAAGAGAGCGAACGAATGAATTGGTGAATGAAGAGAACGAACGAATTAATTGGTGAATGAAGTGAGTGAATGAATGCATTGGTGAATGAAGAGAGCGAACGAATGAATTGGTGAATGAAGAGAACGAACGAATTAATTGGTGAATGAAGTGAGTGAATGAATGCATTGGTGAATGAAGAGAGCGAACGAATGAATTGGTGAATGAAGAGAACGAACGAATTAATTGGTGAATGAAGTGAGTGAATGAATGCATTGGTGAATGAAGAGAGCGAACGAATGAATTGGTGAATGAAGAGAACGAACGAATTAATTGGTGAATGAAGTGAGTGAATGAATGCATTGGTGAATGAAGAGAGCGAACGAATGAATTGGTGAATGAAGAGAACGAACGAATTAATTGGTGAATGAAGTGAGTGAATGAATGCATTGGTGAATGAAGAGAGCGAACGAATGAATTGGTGAATGAAGAGAACGAACGAATTAATTGGTGAATGAAGTGAGTGAATGAATGCATTGGTGAATGAAGAGAGCGAACGAATGAATTGGTGAATGAAGAGAACGAACGAATTAATTGGTGAATGAAGTGAGTGAATGAATGCATTGGTGAATGAAGAGAGCGAACGAATGAATTGGTGAATGAAGAGAACGAACGAATTAATTGGTGAATGAAGTGAGTGAATGAATGCATTGGTGAATGAAGAGAGCGAACGAATGAATTGGTGAATGAAGAGAACGAACGAATTAATTGGTGAATGAAGTGAGTGAATGAATGCATTGGTGAATGAAGAGAGCGAACGAATGAATTGGTGAATGAAGAGAACGAACGAATTAATTGGTGAATGAAGTGAGTGAATGAATGCATTGGTGAATGAAGAGAGCGAACGAATGAATTGGTGAATGAAGAGAACGAACGAATTAATTGGTGAATGAAGTGAGTGAATGAATGCATTGGTGAATGAAGAGAGCGAACGAATGAATTGGTGAATGAAGAGAACGAACGAATTAATTGGTGAATGAAGTGAGTGAATGAATGCATTGGTGAATGAAGAGAGCGAACGAATGAATTGGTGAATGAAGAGAACGAACGAATTAATTGGTGAATGAAGTGAGTGAATGAATGCATTGGTGAATGAAGAGAGCGAACGAATGAATTGGTGAATGAAGAGAACGAACGAATTAATTGGTGAATGAAGTGAGTGAATGAATGCATTGGTGAATGAAGAGAGCGAACGAATGAATTGGTGAATGAAGAGAACGAACGAATTAATTGGTGAATGAAGTGAGTGAATGAATGCATTGGTGAATGAAGAGAGCGAACGAATGAATTGGTGAATGAAGAGAACGAACGAATTAATTGGTGAATGAAGTGAGTGAATGAATGCATTGGTGAATGAAGAGAGCGAACGAATGAATTGGTGAATGAAGAGAACGAACGAATTAATTGGTGAATGAAGTGAGTGAATGAATGCATTGGTGAATGAAGAGAGCGAACGAATGAATTGGTGAATGAAGAGAACGAACGAATTAATTGGTGAATGAAGTGAGTGAATGAATGCATTGGTGAATGAAGAGAGCGAACGAATGAATTGGTGAATGAAGAGAACGAACGAATTAATTGGTGAATGAAGTGAGTGAATGAATGCATTGGTGAATGAAGAGAGCGAACGAATGAATTGGTGAATGAAGAGAACGAACGAATTAATTGGTGAATGAAGTGAGTGAATGAATGCATTGGTGAATGAAGAGAGCGAACGAATGAATTGGTGAATGAAGAGAACGAACGAATTAATTGGTGAATGAAGTGAGTGAATGAATGCATTGGTGAATGAAGAGAGCGAACGAATGAATTGGTGAATGAAGAGAACGAACGAATTAATTGGTGAATGAAGTGAGTGAATGAATGCATTGGTGAATGAAGAGAGCGAACGAATGAATTGGTGAATGAAGAGAGCAAACAAATGATCCGATGAATGAAGTGAGTGAATGAATGAATTGGTGAATGAAGAGAGCGAACGATTGAACCGGTGAATGAAGTGAGTGAATGAATGAATTGGTGAATGAAGTGAGTGAATGAATGAATTGGTGAATGAAGAGAGCGAACTAATGAATTGGTGAATGAAGAGAACGAACAAATGAATTGGTGAATGAAGAGAGAGAACGAAAGAATCGATGAATGAAGAGAGAGAATGAATGAATTGGTGAATAAAGAGAGCGAACGATTGAACCGGTGAATGAAGTGAGTGAATGAATGAATTGGTGAATGAAGAGAGCGAACGAATCGATGAATGAAGTGAGTGAATGAATGAATTGATGAATGAATCGAAGGAACCAAGTAATCAGCAAATGGGGTAGGCAAACGAATGAAAGAATGAATGAATCAGTTAATAAATGAATGAATCAGTAAACGAAGTGAGCGGATGAATAAATCAGTGAATCGATGAATCAACAAATGAATGAACTGTTTTTCCCTCTGTCCTCAGGAGAAAGCGGCGAAATGGTGGTGCGCTGACAGCCAGATGGACGGCCTGACCACCAACGGCATATTAGTGATGCGACCGCGGCACGGCTTCACCTGCGAGTCCAAACCGGGCGCCTGGAGAGAGATCTCAGTCTGCGGCAACGTCTTCACGCTCCGAGAGACCCGGTCCGCTCAGAAACCCGGCAAACTGGTGAGGCTGCCTTTAATAGACTTGTCATTAAACATACAACCACATTTAGATCAAATAACGACTGAGGCTTGATGAAATCCTCCAGAACGAGGTCAAAACTCGACCACAGCGGCATCTCAGTAATGCACAGATAAACATTCGGGTGACATTTCCTTGTTTCCCTGCTTCACCATGACAACTCTGATCATGTGTTGGTAAATACTCATTTTAGGGCTTGAAAATTCCCACTGTCCTTATCTGGAATCACACACACACACACACACACACAGTTTGCAGTGTGAAGAAGAATTTGTATATTTGTGTATCTTTTCAATCAGTGATGGCCCACAGGGACTGAATCAGCACATAGCTGGTGTGTTTGTGTGTGTTGTGCGTGATATGACTCCCGCCCGACTGCACAGTTTGTTGTGTTGTTAAAATCGGTCTCCATGGTGTCAGAAGTCCTGTCCGTAACCTCACCATGCAGCTTTTTTTTTCCTGGATGCACAGTATGTGAGAATGAGAGGTTATGAAATGACTGTCGCTGGTAAACAGCTGCAAATCTGAAAATCTCGAAGCCATTTCCTCTCAGAAAAGTGTTTCTTAATATCTGTTGAGCAGAGTTTTATATCTCATAAAAGTGTCTTATTTGAAGTCGAATCTCACGAATATATCATTATTAGATCGAAAAATTGAAAGAAGGAATGTTTTAGTTACAGAAAACATAGTAGTGTAGTTTTTGTTGATCAGATTTAATTTTGTTTATATTGTTTTCACTTTCATTTCACTTAAAGTTTTAGAAATATTGATAGTTTTTTTTATTGTTTATATCATTTTAATAATTATTCTTTATTAGTTTTAGTTAAAATAAATGAGAAATGCTGCATTGGCAATGAACTGAAATAAAATGTAAAATTTTTATATTATATAATTCATTGTTACTGTAGAGGATTGATATACTATTGTAGTTTTTGTTTATTATATTTTATCTTATTTTTTAATTGTTTTCACTTTAATTTCAGTTAAAGTTGTTGTAATCTTGTTGTGTTTTGTCATTTTAATTATGTTTTATGTTTATATATATATTTTAATGAATTTTTCTTTATTAGTTTTAGTTGTTTTAGTACTTCGTTAAAATAAAAAATGATAAATATAGCTGAAATAAAACGTGTGTATATATATATATATATATATATATATATTCTGTTATAAATTATATATAGTTTTTCTTTCAATTTCAGTTAAAGTTTTTTTTTTTATAGTTTTGGTAATATTTTAATTAGATTTTATGTTTATATATTTTATATATTTTCACTTGAATTTAATTTGTTGTGTTTTTGTCTTTTTTATGTATGATCATTTTTTATGTTTTTTTTATTAGGGATGCTGTAGCTTACATGAATAAAATTCACAAACATGACACTTGTAAATTAAATAATTTTAAATATACAGATTTATGTGTTGTATGTTTTTTTTCCCAAACGGATTATGAAAACTTAAATACAAGGAGCTCTAAAATATTTTCAGAATTTGTACAACTCCTTTGCTTTAGACAAATACTAAATCATCTACAAATGTTACCACTGCATCTGTCTGAAAAAAGGCATTTGATTTATAGTTATTTTCAAAGCTTTCATTGTACTCTCAGTATTAAAGAACTTCGTTATTGTTTATTTAATTCTAACAAGTAAGTTTTTGTTAGAAACTAACCAAAATGAAAAATAATTAGTTTACAATCTCTGCACAGGAGAGACGGTGTTGTATCGATGTATCAGCTATCTGCCAAAATGAGTTGAAAAATATCGGCATATCGGATATCGGCAAAATCCAATATCATGCATCCCTATTTTTTATGTATGCTAATATGTCTAGTTTTTTTTTTTTTATTATTAGTTTTAGTTATTTTAGTACTTCAAGTTTTAAGAAAACAAGTTGTGTTGCCTTAGCAACTAGCCGAAATAAAATAAGTTTACTTTTTTAATATATATATATATATGTTTCATTTTAGTTTAGTTCAGTTAATGTTCATTTTATTTTAAGTAACAACTTTTCTATGCTTTTAGTTTGTTAACTGTAATAACCCTGCTTATATAGGAGTTTTTTGTGCATTGCGGCATTATTTATATATATAAAACCACATCCATTTTCGTGAGATTCAGCTTTTAATAAATCTGTCGTGTTAACTCTACGTTTGTGCTGTGAATTGTGGAAATGCAGCATTTGTGATGGCACACCTGTGTAATCTCGTGTGTATATTGCTGGTAGCTGTGTTTGGCGATGTGGGCTGGATTTGTGTGTCCTGGCTGAGTGAGACGGTAGACCTGAGGTGCATATTCTGTGCTCTCTAAATAGTGGATGTGGTTTGGGCTTTGTTCCATTCTGACTCTGTATGGACTCGCTCTACATTTACTGATGCTCATGTTTGTGAAGGAGGTCGTGTGGATGAGAGCGGCCTCTAGTGAACGCTTAGAGTCAGAGCAGATTAAAATGTGGGAAAGAAACTACTGATAGATGGTTATATTAACCAGACACATAAATTGCCTGATATCTGACCATTATATGATTATCCTTCTCGCATGATTAACAGAATTGGCTATTTTCCCCAAATGCTGGCCTTGTCGATGGATAATAAACATTTTCAGTTATAAAATAATTTTAGTGAATATATAAAATATATGAAAATTAATATAATTATAAACTGTTTATTTTATATAGTTATATATTTATAGAAAGTATGTAAATGCCTTCCCAGTGGATTACATTTTCCATTTAATTTGAGTGAATATATAAAATATATGAATAAATCTAGTTCACTCATTTCTCAAACAATCTAAAGAACTTTCACATACAACCCAAGAATAATAAAGTGAAAAAGTACAATATACTCACACAAAAAAAAACAAATCTGTATAGAGAAGTACATAGTGTAATATTGTTTTGATCATCATAAGACATCTTTGGGTTTGTTCAATATTTTTAAGGAATCGTAATATTTTATTTTAAAATATAAAAAATGCATACAATGAAAAATATTTTTATTTTTAAAGAATTTTTTTTTTCTTATATACATAAATTTGTCAAATATACTCAATATAAGACATCAATAAGTGTGCAATTAATTGCTCCATCAATATTCAATAATATGAACTAATATTGTATTGATTGTCATATATTTTGGGCTCACACAAAAATGCTGCAAAGTTACACAGGGTTTGGTTCAGTCAGTATGTATGAGCAAGCAATAGTAAAGTGAGCAGTCACCACTAATTACAAAACATATATGTTTTTCTGTTTCTCTCTCTCTCTGTAGGTTGAGAATGAGTCTCACGAGCTGGTGGACGGCACTTTAATCGATCTGTGCGGCGCGACTCTGCTGTGGCGTTCGGCGGAAGGTCTGTCCTGCACGCCGACCCCCAAACACCTGGAGGTGCTGCGGCGGGAGCTGAACGCGGCGCGGCCGCAGTGTCCCGTGGGCCTCCACACCCTGGCCTTCCCCAGCCTGGACCGCTCCTTCACCGGCTCGACCCACGACGAGCAACCCTGGGCCTACCTGCACTGCGGACACGTGCACGGATACCACGCCTGGAGGGGCCGCCGCCGCCTCGCCAAAGAGGGCTCCACCGAGGAAGACGAGGACGAGTCCGAGAGCAAAGAGGAGCTGGAGCAGGAGCCGCTGCGGGAGGGGGAGCGCGAGTGTCCGCTGTGCCGCACACGCAGTCTGTACGTGCCGCTGAAGCTGGGCCGCGAGTCAGGCTTTTATCTGGACAGCGCGCCTCCGACGCACGCTTTTAACCCCTGCGGACACGTGTGTTCAGAGCAGACGGCCGCCTTCTGGAGCAAACTGGTGCTGCCTCACGGCGCTCGCGGCTTCTTCCCCGCCTGCCCGTTCTGCATGCGGCCGCTCGCCCGCGACAGCAAGTGCGTGAGACTGATCTTTCAGGGGCTGCTGGACTGAGTGTGTGTCTGTGTGTGTGTGTGTGTGTGTACGTGCTGCTCCTCTACGCGCCAAACTGCCAACACACATATTCCACTCTGATTTTCCCACAAGCCATGTGTTCTCTGCAGAGGTGTAAAGTATTGGAGTAAATGTAACTAGTTACTGTACTTGAGTATCTTTTCGGGTACTTTGTAGTTGTACGGAGTATCA